GGAGGGGACGACCCGTGAGCGCCGCTGCAGGCGTGGCGGCCGTGCTGCTGCGTTTGTGTGGCGCTGCGCGCATCGGCAGGGCCCGAGGGAGCAAGCATACCTCCAAGCGGGATCGCACGCGATAATTCAATGTAGCAGACAGCGGCAGAACACATAGAGCCCTCATCCCCCCTCCCGCACAATCACCAAGCACATTCAATTTCAAGGGAGCCACAGCCTCACCAGAGGACACCATGAACCCCGTATACAGCCCTTTGCGCGCAACCTCCCCCGAAACCACCCCACCCCAACCCCAAACCCAAGGATGATGTCAGCATCACCCTGATAGACGGCCTGGACTCACTCCTCAACTCTTTCCACACGTGAGCGCAAAACCAGCACCACGACACGAGAGGGTGGGGGCTTGACACAGAATCTATACTGCTGCTTTGCCATGCATGCGTGCATGCATGGCAAAGCAGCAGTATGCATGCATGCATGGCAAAGCAGCAGTATGCATGCATGCATGCAAGCGAGCAGGGCGCCGCCGATGGCAGCGCTGCTGCCGCCTCGAGTGGGATGGATATCCCCGCAAGACGGCGCATCCCGCTGATTCTGGCCAATTTTGGGGTCGGCCCAAACCGTTTCTTTCTGTTGCAATGGTGCCCCTATTGTCAAGCCCCTCCCCCGGCTCATCAGAGGCAGGGGCCCTCAATACCAGATGGTGCGCAATGGGCCAACGCCGGCATCCCCCACCACCCCCCTGTGATCCACCCCATGACGCTCTCTGCCCCGCGCCCCCGGCCGCCGCCGGCGGCCGACCCCGCTTGCCCGCGCCCCTGCGTGATCATAGAGAGGTGCAGACGTACGCAGGGCGTGTGTTCCAGAAGAGCGGCATCGACGTGCGGTTGGGAACAAAGTGAGCCTCGTTAGTGGCCCCAGCATGCTTGCATGTGGAAAGCCCGGGCGCACGACCACTGCTGTATTCCCTTCACGGCCGATCACAGCCCAGGCCTGGGGCAAGCGACCCGTGTCCTTTGCCGGCTGGCAACGCGCGCGCCCGCCAGGGCGCGCCTTGGAGCGGCCGAAACTGCCAGGCGTGCGGCGGGGCCCGCCGGTCCTGCCGCCAAACGGGAAGGGCGTGCCCCTTGGTCATGCCCGCAAACGCGTCGACCCCCCAAATGTGGAGCCCTTGGATCGAAGAGACGCCGTCGCCTTTGCCTTCTTGTCCGACCCTCCGCCGCCTCTGCTGACGTCACACGCACCCGGCCGCCATCACACCCGACCGCTTGTCACGCACGCTCGGCCGCCCCACGAGCCTGGATGGCTCCAGGAGCGGGCGACCGCGGGATCTGATGACAATCCTAGTCCTAATCCTGATCCGCCCGTCATCACACCCGACCACCATCACTAAATCCCAGGGTGACCGGCGTCCACGAGGGCGGAGTTGATGTGGAGGCGCGTGACGGCTCCAGGTCCACCATTCCATTCTCGACCTGTGTGTGGGCCACCGGCATCGCCATGCACCCGCTCGTCTCCCAGATCAAGGGGCAGCTGCCCGGGGACGTCCAGACCTCGAACAGGTGATGACTCACCATGTGACTAATGCGTTTGGAGGGGCGAGCGGCGTTTTTTGCCTTGATTGTGAGGGCAGGAGTGCGGCTTGTGGACTGCACGCCTAGGCGGGCTCGCTCTCACTGCTGCTGCGGCGCTCCGTCTTTGGGCCGTTGTGCAGCACGGCTGTCCCGGCCGGCGGCAGGGGGTGATTTTGCGTCTCAGGCGTGCGTGCACGCAGCTCTCATGAGCGACCGCTTGGGAGGTCGAACTGGCGGGGCATGCGGCGCCTTATCGCCTAGTGGCGATACATAGCCCTCTAGACGCGTCCAAACACCAGCATCTCATGCCGCTTTGAATGCCGAGGTCGCACCCTCCCGGGGAAGAAAGGGCCTTTCTTCCCCGACCCGCGCGCCGCTTGCGTGGCCCTGGCAAAACCCTGACGCGACCAAAGCCTGCCTGCCGAATTCCGCCCTGCCAACCCAGGGGCCTGCTGGTCGACAGCCACCTGAGGGTGCTGGGATCTCGCGGCACCATCTTCTGCATCGGTGACGCCGCCGTCGCCGGCGTTGGCGGCGCACAGCAGAGCTTCCTGCCGCCCACCGCCCAGGCCAGCCGCTGGGGGTTGGCTGCGGGGGCGCATGCCCGCGTTCGCCGCAAGGGGCATGCACGCGTAATCGCTTGCCCGCACCCCGCAAATGTCACGAATCTCTCCAGCCTGCTCGCATGCACCCCGCCCCAACATCTCCCTGTATCTCACGCGGCCATCCGCCCATGGGGCCGTGGCTTCCTGTGTTGCAACGCCCCTGCAAGGACCTTGAATGCGCGCACGCCCCGTCGCCCGCGCGCAGGTGGCGCGCCAGGAGGGGGAACACCTGGCTGCCCTTCTCTCGCGCTACAAGCTGGTGCCAGCCAAGGAGCCGGCCGCGGACAGCAACGCCAGGGCCGACAGGGACGGGGATGGGCACGAGGACGGCGCCGCGGCGCGCGATGGTGACATCATCCCCATGCCAAAGGGCGCCCCGTCGTTCCGGTGGGTGAGACGAGGGCAACCCGCTGACCTGACGAGCTCGCGCGTGAGCTGCACAGCGCCGCGCGGGCCCGCGCTGGCCACGCCTCACTCGCGCGAGGCCGGCTGGCGCGACTGAACGGGCGCGGCCGCCCGTGCTCCCAATGATCGGTACATAGGAAACCATTGACCTGCCCCCTGCTCCACGCTGCACGACGCTGCCGGATCTTTGGGGTGCTGGTTTTCACCTTGCACATGCACACAACACATCTCGTCGGCAGCTACCTGCACCTGGGCTCCCTGGCCTACCTGGGGGAGCAGAAGGGCGTGATGGACCTGCCGGTGGGCCCTGGTTTATTGGAACGCGCGGTTCAATTCATTGCCATGTGAATGCCGTTCAAGTTTGGGGTTCAGCGGGTCGACCTGATAAGGGTTGGCTGGCCTGGGGTGTGGTCAATGGTGCTGCCTGGGGTCAAAGGTGATGAGTATTCAGAGCCAGGGGCGCCAACGCGGGGGGCGCTTGCATGATGCGTGCGGAGGGATGCTTTTGACGACCGCGCTGCCTCACGGCCTCGTCTGCAATGCTTTGGTGCCGGCGGGGCGCCCCCAAAAGCGGCGAGCCCCCTCCAGGCGCTGCCATGGCCCCCAGCAGGCTCTGCAGCTCGACCTGGCTGAAACAACATCATCAATAACGAAGGTCCCCTAGCCTTGAGCCTCGGCTGTTTGCCCGTACGTGCGCACTCCGACCTTCTTTGTAGCCGAGTGTATCACAGAGCTGTCGGCGCCCTCCCTGCACGTATGTGCGCTGCACGCAGATCAAGATGCCATTCCTCAAGACCCTGCGCGGCCGCCTGGGGGCGGACGCGTGGCGCCTCCTGGAGACGCTCATGCAGGTGACTACATGCACGGCGCTTTGAGGGGGAGGGCGCAGTGGAATTCCTCGCTTCCTCTCTGGTCTTGCTTTGGCCCACCACCAGCAGCTTGAAGGTATCGAAAGTGATAGGGGGTCAGGAGGGTCCCTTGTTGGCTGGTCACATGGGGGCACCGTGCAGGCGGCGGGGAAAAAAACCCCGCCGCTGTCGAGACGAGGGCGCGTCGGCTGCGGGGTGCAGCCAGCAGATTTGCAAAAAGCGCACCCGTTGAAACTCGAGGGAGACCCCACCTGCTGTCTGCCGGGCGGGGCGGGGGGGGGGGCAGCGCGGTTGGGAGGGGCATGCAGGAGGGCTGGCCATGACTGCTGGCCTGAGCCCGCGGGGCAGCCCCGCCCTGCAACTCGCCGGCATTCGCGGCTTTCGCGTCAAAATGTCGCGCCGCCCTGCCTTCGCATGGCGGGGGCCTCGGAGCCTGCTCCCCCACCTCTAGGCGCCTCAGCAGGCCGCACGTGCCTGAGACGCGAGCCCGGCGCGTACTCACTTATGGCCCGCCCTACCCGCTGGCGCGGCGCCGCATGCTGTCGTGCGAACAAAACGCAGGTGTCGCCGCGCACGCGCTGGCTGGTGGCCAACGACTGGATCCGCTCCTTCCTGTTTGGCCGCAACATCTCCGACATCTGATGCAATCTGGCCCGGCCTGAGCAGGTCTGATCTGCTGCCCGGGACCAATCAAGGCGCCCAATCAGCTTGCTTTCTTATCGCGGCCGCCGCGCATACAACCGCGCACAACGCACTGAAACCCTTGCAACCTGCGGCGCCGCCTGCCAGGAGTTGCTGTTTTATTGGGAGCCGCAACACGTTGTGCGTCAATGCGTCAAAACTCGTCTCTCGCGCCAAACACCTGTTGCCTGTCAAGTGAAACTCTGGCGTGCGTGTGTGCCAAACCTCTGTGCCAAATCATCCACATCTCTGCACAGCAATCAAACCAGCCACCAAACCACTACAACAACGCACATACAGCAAGCAGGCGTCGGCGAGGTACGCCTCGTCGTGATGCACGCCTGTGGGTGGTCAGATGCAATGTGACTGTGTTTGACCACCGTGGTCCAGCGGAACACCTGCTTTAATTGCGTGATGCACCCGCCTGCTTTGTGTTCTGCAACAAGAACCATGCGTCCGCGCCCACCACTACTGGCGTTATGGCGGTGGTGCCGCCCTGCTTTGACTCGTCAAAGTTGTTCACATATTTCTTGGGCCTGCGCCACCTCCTGAGCTGCCATCCACACGCCGCACCCGCGTCGAGCCGACAAACCGGAGCGCTTCAGTGTTTTCAGCTTGTTTGTATACTGCAGCACGTACAACGCAAGCAAGGCCGGCATTTTGAGCGGCCTGATGCGCTGTTTAACCCAACACAAGCAGCGTAGCAATCGCACAGCATGTGGGCGACGGTGTTGCTGGCCGTGCGGGCGCGTCAGGCAACGTGCGTGCCCGCATTCCCAAGGCTCCCCTGGCCCGGGCTCAACCCTGGAGGCGAGCACGCTGTGAGCACCAAAACTGCAAGGATGTCGCCAACTGCTGCTCACCTGTTCCGTTGATTACCGCACTGCCTTGCGGAACCAGCACCCAACTTGCACCAGTTTGACGCACAGCAGCACCGTTTGCGCAACCCCAGGCGTCTTTGACCAGGCCCAAACCATGTGTGTGTTGCATGCACCGCTTACAAACGGCGGCGTTACCTCTGCGCCTGTGCAGGGCTCACCAGCAGCTGCCGTGGTTTCGGTTCAATACCAGTTGCTTTGAACAGTCGGCTCGCACCTCCGTCCCATGTGGGGCCTGCTGCAACAGGAGACGAGCGTGAGATGCTGTGGTGTGTAACGCTTGTTGTGAGGCCCCGTCTCTATCAGTCTTGTGTCCCTGGCCATCTGACCGCTTGGCCAGCCTGATGAGGCCGGCTTTCTGCCAGCACCGCGTCGCTCGTGCACGCTGACGTGTCAATGAGCTGGTCAAGACACCCTGTGCGCTGATGAGTGGCTGTATTTGTAGATGATGGCGCCCGGATTTTCTGCATATGTATGGGTTTATCAGCACAGCTGTGCACAGGTGGGATGCGTTTGGCCTTATGCCAACTGCCACAGTTGGGAGGCAAGGCTGCCCCTGGAGCCCCAGCCGGCGGCTGTGACAGAAAGATGCGGTACTATGTATTTTCCTCTATTCAACGTATCGAGCCTCACATCGACACATATTGCATCGAAACAGTAATCACGTGTGAGATCTCACCTGCCAAGATGCCTTTTGCTGAGCTTCGCGGCTGCACGTTGTACGTGACGTGAAAATAAGAGTCGGTGATATCACATGTCCGTTTCATATACAAGCAATCTGGCCACCTTTCCGCAACGCAGTTGAAGCCAGGTAAAGATCCTGCCTGCCGCAGCAGGGGCCTCGCGAAGTGCCCTGGAGCTCCGCAAGACAGTCAGAGCACTTCTATGATATGGTTGCAGCAGCGCTGCAGGTCGTGAGATGTCGCCCCCAACCCTAACAGTGTCTCCGGCACGGGTGCCTCCCTTCGACGCAGGCCCAGACGTCATGGCGCCCACTACATACGCTCCCAAGGGCAAGGTGCGTTTTATTATCGCACCAGCGGCGCGCCTTCGGCCGGCCGCCGTTTGGACAGCAGCCACGTGCACCATGTGATTGCAGGTCGCACACACAGCACATGGCCCGTCCCCTGCGGAACCTATGCGCATGGCACACGGCTGCCAGCAGCCGCGCCCTCAACTTCCAGGCTCCGCGCCTGGCACAGAGTGCTACGCGGCCGCCTAGGCCACCCCGGCGCGCCCGGGCCGTGGGGCCAACACAACAGGACCGTTTTGGGCCGGCGCCTCCGAACCCAGCGGCGCAGCACACGGCTCCTGCGCAACTGCATGCGCGGAACCCCGCCTTTCTCAATCAAAGTGCGCCCTCATCCCTCCCTCGACCTGAGCGCCTCGGCATGCTTCCTCACACACCTCTCACGCCCGAACAAAATCACGTGCGCAACCTCTGCGCCAGCCCGCCTGAAACACACCCGAAGCTGCCCCCTCACCAACCCAACACCCCCCCCCCACACACACAGATCGAGCCCTTCCTCGACCACTCCATCACCCGCTTCTACCTGTCGTCTGAGGGAGTGCCAGATCAGAGCGGCAAGATCATTGCCGAGTACGTCTGGATCGGCGGCAGCGGCGCAGACCTGCGCTCCAAGGTGCGCCGAGGCGGCATGCGTTCTGCTTTCATGGCTGGTGCTGCGAGCGCCAGCAACGCCGGCCTTTGATTGCTGGCCTCGGTAATGTGAGCGGGCGGGGAGCGGCGGAGCAGACTTTTGTTCAAGGCCGGCGGTGCGACGCTGATGTTCTCCATGTGTCTTGACTGACTTGCCATGCCTTGCACCTGATCACGCGCCAAGGGGCCCGCGGCCGACGCCATTCCGACTGCGTGAGAGAACGGCGCCATCGGCGCCACCACCGTCCTGCCTTGAGGCCCCGATGCTGTCACCAACAATGCCTGCAGGCCGCCCCGGCCCCTCCCTTCCCAACCCCGCTCACACTCACCCCTCACCACTGCCACGCCGTCGTCCCCCCTGCCCCCCCCCTCAATCAACAGTCCCGCACCCTGGCCAAGGTGCCCTCAAAGCCAGAGGACCTGCCCACCTGGAACTATGACGGCTCCTCAACCGGCCAGGTGCGGCGACTGCAGCCCCCGCTCGCCGCTCCGCCTGCCGCTCGTTGGAACGCCGGCGAGGCCGCGTGCGCTTGCACGTAGCCAGCTGACGCCGCTCGCAGCACTGGGCAGGAGCCCGGCCTGCCTAGGCGGCGAACCGCCGCAGCCGCGCCTTTTCGCGGACGAACCGCAGGGCCCAACCTCTGCCAGCTAATCGGCCGGGCGCAGGGCTGCGCTTGTGTTCATGTCCCCTCCTCCTCACTCCCCTGCATCACCGCGCCGTTATGAAACAGCGGCCAACGCTCTGGCCTTGTTTCCGCAGTTCTGAAGCCAGCCACCAACACTCCTACATCTCATCAACCCCTGCCACTCTTTGGTGTGGCCAGGCCCCCGGCGAGGACTCCGAGGTGTACCTGGTGCCGCGCGCCATCTTCAGGGACCCCTTCAGGGGCGGCGACAACATCCTCGTGCTGTGCGACGCGTACGAGCCCCCGCGCGCCAACCCCGACGGGACGGTGCGTGTGTGTGAGTGTTTGTGTGTGCGCGCGTGTATGTGTGTGTGTGTGAGTGTGTGCGTGCGCACGCGCCTGCGTGTGTGCGTGCGCCTTGTGAGGGGTTGAGTCAGGATAAGCGAACGGCGTCCTGCGAATGGAGTTCATGTGCCTGGATGGTGTGTGGTGACACATAATGGCGGCTGGCAGGGGTGGGTGTCGCGTCGGTCTGCGGCTGTTTCAAAGCTATGTACCAAATGAATACAAACTGTACCTTGCTTGGGGGCCCACACGAGGAGCTGGCCGCTGGCTGGCAAAGGGCTCGCCTCAGCCCAGGTCGACACTAGGGTGGCGGAAAGCTTGGTAGCAGGCGCCCCGGCTCGCTTTTTTTCAGCCTGTCTTTTGAGGTAGTCCGCCCCTCGTCACCCCTGCCATGCACCATCCCCCCCCCCAGGTCAGCGACATCGTCCCCATCCCAACCAACAGCCGCGCCGCGTGCGCGGCTGCCATGGAGAAGGCCGCCGCCGAGGAGCCCTGGTGAGCCCATGGTTGAGCTGCATTAGGGGCCGCATGGCATGCATGTATGCCTCACAAAGCACGATGACTTCTCCTGTTGGTCACAGCCCCATGGACTCGGCTCCAGCGAAGGATTTCATAACCTGCTGTGATGTGGGGTTGCGCCAACGGGTCTGTCCCCATCTAGACTGCTGCTCCTGAACACCATTCCAACGCTCGTTGCACGTCCCAGCTGTCGCGACCAAAAACGCGCGAACCTCTTCGAAACCGCCCCAAAACGTCCCCCAGGTTTGGCATTGAGCAGGAGTACACGCTGCTGAACGCCCTGACCAAGTGGCCGCTGGGCTGGCCCGACAACGGCTACCCCGCGCCCCAGGGCCCCTACTACTGCTCAGCGGGCGCCGGCTGCGCCATCGGCCGCGACATCGCCGACGTGCACTACAAGGTGCGCAGGGGGCAGCACACGGGCTGCTCGTTGCAAACGCGCATGATTGCAAGCACGCGTGTGTGTGTGTGTGTGTGTGTGTGTGTGCGCTTTTGTCTTGAATGAAAGGTTGCGGGTTAGGGTCCATTTGCTGTACGTCCCAAGGTGACAACCAGCAGCGAGAGCAGCTGCGGCCCCATGACACAGCAGGGACCAGCAGCGGCGCAGTCCCCGCGGCCCGCACCTCTTGTGGCGGTCAGAAAGTTCAGACTAAACCCTCACCGCCTGCAAACCCTCCCCTCCTC